ATTATAGGAACCATTCCCATAATATTATGGGAAATGTTCCCATAATGATATAGTAATGGTTCCTATATCATTATGGGAACTATTCCCATAATGGTATAGGAAGGATTCCTAGAACATTATAGGAATCATTCCTATACCATTATGGGAATCATTCTCAAAATAAAATAAAGATAAAATCTTCGTGCGGTGTGAGTTCGAAATGGCTCCTATAATATATACACGGAAAAAAAAATTGAGGCAGCCACATGATTCTCATGTTGTAGGCAATAATAGTTAAAACAACAATAATAATGAAATAATTATAATAATAATAATCTATATTATTAAGAGAATAAAGAAAATTTTGTGGCCAGTGTATTTATGGGATAAAATGAGTTTTTGCTTGGAGTTGTGCCTTTTCAAGGTTTCATATCATTCTCATCAATAGTCAATTTATTATAATAAGAATTTAGGCTGCATTCGAAAATGCTCTGTGTCTAGATACATAATGAAGAAATGATCTTGTATCTTGTGAATTATTGACATTTTTGAAGATATAAGCTCATCCCGATGTTACACTCATCAAGAGCTTTCATTTGAATACCCACATGCATTTTTAATATATTTTTCATATATACATACATATAAATATATAAAATATATGAAAAATTGATGTGGGTACTCAAATGAAAGGTCTCGATGAGTGTAATGTCGAGATGAGCTTATATCTTTAAAAATGTCAATAATTCACAAGATACAAGGTCATTTCTTAATTATTGACATTTTTAAAGATATAAGCTCATCCTGATATTATACTCATCAAGAGCTTTCATTTGAGAATACCCACATGCATTTTTGATATATTTTTCATATATACATATATATAATTTATATAAATATATAAAAAATTGATATGGCTACTCAAATGAAAGGTCTCGATGAGTGTAACATTAATATGAGCTTATATTTTTAAAAATGTCAATAGTTCACAAGATACAAGGTCATTTTTTAATTATGTATCTAGAGATAGAGCATTTTCGAATGCAACCTAAATGTCTATCATCATAAACTGACTATCGACGAGAATGATATGAAACCTTGAAAAGGCACAAATTCAAGTCAAGTCCTTTGTAATGACACTTAATTTCACTAAAAAAATCGATTTCATTATGTGACTATCCAGGAGACAAAATTGTTCTTATTCTTTTAATAATATAAATTATTATTATTATTATTATTATTATTATTATTATTATTATTATTCAATTATTATTCAATTTTTATAGTTGTTTTAACCATTATTGCCTGCCACATGAATCTTCGACAGGAATGTATCATGTCGCAGCCCCAATTTTTTTTTCCGCGTAAGATTCAAACCTATATATTGTGGAAACCATTCTTATAATAGTCTAGAAATGATTCCTATAGCATGATGGGAACCATTCCCATAATATTATAGGAATAGTTCCCATAATATTATGGGATTAGTTCCCATAACGATATAGGAATAGTTTCTATAATAGTATAGGAATTTTTCCTATAGCATTATGGGCACCATTCCCATAATGGTATAGGAGTAGTTCCCATAATTTTCTTTCCGTGTTAACTGTATTTTTTAGTTTGGAACAATATATATCTGTGCAAAGAAATCGCTTTTTGAAAAAAAAAATCAAAATTTCAATTTAAAACTTTAATAAACGGCGAAAAAAGAGAAAATTTGTTCGCTGTATTTTTTCTATGGAACTAAACTTCAAGGCGTAAAAAAAGGTATTTAATACATTTTGATGTCAATTAGAAATTCTTAATTATTGTAATTTATCTTGAACTTTGAAAATTTTAATCTTAATTTTGAAAATTTCATAACTTACCAACTCTGAGTATTAACCCGCAGTGGTCACACTTCTTAAAAATAACGTAGTGGAACCCCCGGAGGTCATTTTCATTTATGTTAAAAAATGAAGTTCTTAATAAAAAAAAGTCAAATTTTTCGAAAATTGACTTTCTTGCATTTTTTTTATAATTAAACAATTAAAAAACGATTGAGTTATTCAACGGAAGTGTTAATAATTACTCTCATGTACGGCTCGAGTGAAAATATTGAAAAGAACGCAAGTAGCAACAATTTTTTCCGTGCATGGGGTCAACTAGACCCAGTATGACCACTACGGGTTAAAAGCTGAAAATTTACAGGTAAGCTTCTTTTAATACATACAAAAACGTGTAGGAAAACTAATTAAAAAAAAGATACGATGCTTAACAACCGATAATTTGGAATAAAATGCCCAAAATACGCTCCACACACACGGACCTTTATTCAGCCACTATCGTGAAAATAGTCTTAAGAGTTTCTTAGAACCTCAAAAAATTGAGATCTGATGAGAACTCAGTTATCTGACCTTGATGATTTTATAAAAATTGCTCTCATTCTTTTTAATATTGACTGTAAAATCCTAATAATATTCAAGCAGACTAATTTTAAACTATTTTGCATCAATTTCAGAGAAATTGAAGAATACCGATTATAAAAAAAAAAATGTCGCAAGCTTTACTCATTGGATTTCACGTGATTTCCTGTATTCAGTTTGCCTTCTCAGTTTATTATGATTTCAACTTCACGATTGTGCCAAAAGGCATAATTAAGATGCACGGAAGCTATGGTGGCAAATTCAAATTTCTCACATTCTGGGATGCGGTTTGTATTATAATTAAGATCTTTTTAGATCTTTATATTTAAAATCTTATAAATTATCATATAATACAGAGTTTATTTATATTTTTTAGCATATTGATAAAAAATTCTATGAATCATTATTTGAATTAAAATTTTAACTAATCGTAAAACTAAAAGAACAAAGTATAATAATTTATTTGTGGAGCAATTTTCACTATGAAAAGTCATTAATAAGAACTCTCAATGTCAGAAATAATTACATAAGAAAAAAGAGACCGTTGTCAAAGAACGCTCATTACCATAATTCTACCGTATCGTGAATATATCATTATTTATTAAATTGTAAAACAAATGTCAACTAAAGATCTCTTATTGCGATAGCAAAATGAATTGTGTTAATCGCTATCTATAGCTTGCAGGCCTTCTCCACTTATAAATAAGTTATAAAATTCACATCTCTTGAAAAAATCATCATACATGATCATATAAGATCATCTGTTGATCTCATGTATGACCATGCCTGAATATTCGCCAGGCCTAAAAAAGCATGACCATGCATGAGCATCAAGCACTCTCATGTCTGACTAAGCACGATCATGCCTTGTTAGATCTAGCGAATATTCAGGCATGACCATGCATGGGCAAGCATTATCGTGCATGACCAGGTATAATCATGCATGAAGAACAAAATAACGATAAAAAAAAAAAATTTATGAAATAAATTTTTTTCGGTCCATCCCGGTTTTAGTCTTTCACTAGTTAGTTGTCATCGATTGTTTTTTTCACTGAAAAATACCATTTAGAATCTGGTCTTTGACGAGGCTCGAACTCGGAACCGTTGATACATGAAGCACGAACGATAACCACTATGCTTGTCCGCCATATTACTTGAAAAAGATTTTTACTCCATACTGTATTTTTTGTTCGTCGTTACAGTGATTGTGTCTTGAGTGCAATGTTATTAATGATTAGGTTTTTAATAAATTCAATTTAATGTACATGTTTAACATAAAAATATGTTTTTTACGAGAAAAAGTAGAGTCTAAAGTATTTATAAATGAGTGTTATGCATTTTTGTTTGTATCAATTTTTTTATATAATACTTCTAACTGTCCTTCAAGATAAGATGTTGAATGAAGTTGTACGATTAATCAAATTTATGGCTTACAATCCTGCTATTTGCTTTTAAGTTCGTCTTTACTTTTTAACAATTTTAAAATTTGAAAATAAGTTTAGAGATGATTATAAATTCAATTAAAATCTTATTTTTTTTTAATAATAATTAACATATTCATGAAAGATAACAGTTTTTGTTAATTGTAAAATATATCTGTACTAAAAACAAAATTCATGTTTCTATATAAGTAGTATATTTTTGCTGAAAGCTTTAGACATAGACAATACGCATTTCTATATCTGTTAACAACTATTGATTATTTTCAGATAATTCAAGCTGTTTTTTTCTTTTTATGTATTCTTAATGATATTTACGGAACTAATAAAGTTGCACCGAAGCAGACCCCATTGCTGCGGCGAATCAAAGACTACTTTCATGCGACGTTTAGTTTTCCACTTGCCATGGTAAGTATGAAAAATAGATACTTTTGTTGTTGTTGCTCAGAAAATTAACCTTGAAAAAATTTTAAATTAAATTTTTCTTATTTATGTTAACATTTAATTAATGTAACCAATATAAAAATCATTAACTATAATTATTTACCTCAGTTTTGATTACAATGAACTTAATAAATAAATCGTGATATATAGTCACTGTTGAAAGTTTTTTTTAATGTCTTTAGGCAATTTACAGTTATTGTCATTTTCGTTTAGTTGTAAAAAAAAATCATTATTATTAAATGAGTTTTAACAGCCGAAGCCGGAATAAAAAATAACGTGACAAATTCTCCTGGAGTGAGTAATTTTACGAACCCTACCCAGGGCTTAAAAGTTAGACTTTCTGAGCATATATGACAAAAAAATTTCTTGCACAACTTTAATTCTCAAACTTGATTTTAAGTCTCTTAAACTCTTTATAGTAGATATATTTATCATAGTTTGTAGGTATAACATTTTGGTCATTGATGTTTTTTGACCGTGAATTGGTGCTTCCTAAAGCTCTCGATCCATATTTTCCATGGTGGTTAAACCATTTAATGCATACAATGATTATGATAACAACGGTACTTGAAATGATAAGTGCGCCAAGACAGTATCCAAAACAAAAATCCGGGTACATTGGACTTTATGCGCTTATGATTTCATACCTTATATGGTAAGAACTACCCTTACATTATTTGTTCTAAATATTATATAATACATTGGGCATAAATTTTCAGGATACATATAATTTATTATAAAAGTGGAGTTTGGGTATATCCAGTTATGGAAGTATTATCGTGGCCGTTACGAATCCTATTTTTCATATCATTATTTGGGTTCACTGGATTACTTTACTACGCAGGTGAAGTCATTGACAATTTAATTTGGGGTAGTAAGAAATCGAAGAATCATCAAAAGAGTATGACCAAATCAAAATAACGTTACTTAATATCACTAAAATGTGATATTGGAAGATATTATGTTCTAATTCAAAAAGGTAAATATTTATTATGATACACTGATAGAAGGATTTCTTAGTATTTGAGGAATATTTCTTAAATACTAAGAAATATTTCTTAAATACTAAGAAATATTTCTTAAATACTAAGAAATGATGTTTAAGAAATGATTTCTTAAATACAAAGAAATCTTCTTAAATACTAAGAAATCCTTCTATCAGTGTAATATTAAGATATGTTTATATGTAGATTTATTAGTCACAATAAGAAAGGTATTTATAAAACAATTCATGATATTTCCGAACTCAAAGCACTCAAAAATGTACCTAAAAGTAAATTATAAAGCTCTTCGAGGTCGAAAAGTTCATTTTCATGCTCTCTTGAACTGTTCCATTGGTTTAAAAATCTTTAAGTTAACTCAAAAATGTACAAAAGTTTTTTGCATAGTAATTTTTACAAAATAATATTGCAGTATATTAGTAGAAATATATTCCACAAAACCTCTATGCGTCTGCTTCTTTATTAAGTAGTAAATTTCCCCGAAAAAAACTTGAGAAAACTGATTTAAAGCATTTTAAATGCATATCTTAGATGAATTATTAAAAATGCTTCCAACAATCGTACATAGTAGGGTGGGCCAAAAAAAACTTTTAATTTTTTTTTCTTTAGCTACCGCGAAAATATCGTCCAAGTGACGAAAAAAAAATTCTGTAGAGTTTGAACTATTTAAATCTTTCTGGGTTTTTCCCGCTATTATTTATTGCAGCCATCTTTTTATACGTAATTCTATATTAATATACAAAGAGCGTTGTGATCAATCCTTTCGGATTCACAACAACATCAAGCAAGTTCAAAAACCAAGAGAATGATTTACTTGGATTAAGAGGTTTTTTTCTTCACTTAAGTTGGTAAGCCTGTTGAAACTAGGGAATATTTGCTTAAACCAAGATTGACCAAAACAAGAAAAAAATTTACTTAACTCAAGAATATATTTTATCTTCAGTTGAATATACTTGGATCAAGTAAATATTACTTGACTCAAGATGACTTTTTTTTCTGTGTAGGTAATTCCAATTATTTACTTATAACTTGTGTATTTGAGTAAGTTATTAAATATCTGCTTTGAATTATTGTTACTAAGTTATTACATGAAATATGAATATTAAAATTCGTTATATAATTTTTGTAAGCTGATTAACTAATTTTTGGATTAAATAATGGCAGAGTCTAAATAATGACAACAATGGTAATAATGATGCAATCATACTTGATGAAATACAATAATTATAATAAGAACAATGATAAAATAAATTACTAATATCATTTGTATGCATGTCTATAATACTAAAATAGCTTTAATTTAATACGGAAAAAATTTTTTTTCTTAAGCCTAATAAATAATAGTAACTATAGAACACATTAAAAAAATTTACTCGTTTTTCTGATGAATTAAATGAATAAGAGCGTGGTATTCACGGAAGCTATGGGCTTGACAACACCACAACTTTGTCAAAAATCACTTTCACGATTTAATTTTTTTTCTGTTTTATTCCTGAGGAAGTTTATCAAAACCCTTGTGAAACTTGCGTGTCAAAATAATTCCGTTTCGATACAGTTAATTTTTTTCGATTGCCAGTTCGGTGACTTTTTCTGCGATTTCGGCAGCCATATGTATTATTTTTCATAAACAGAATTGAAATAACTATAAACAAGCAGAAACTATACATACATGCTGGTAGAATTACTAACTGTTTTATCATCTGGTAAAATTTTTCTTTAGTTCGACCTACAGAGGGCATAATACTACTCGCGGGAAAATTCAAATTAAAAATGAATAATTTTTGTTATGATCTAAATATTTTATGTATGACATGAGCGCTTAAGGCATGCTTATTTGGATTTTCCAAACTTTTTTTATAATCTATACACGGAAAAAAATAATCGGTAGATGCTACCGATTAGCGATCGGTAGCAGCTACCGATTTTTAACTTCCCGCTAAAAATCTCAGATTTTCAAAAATCGGGAAATTATTGTTTTCCCCCCGTTTTACAAAAATCGAGTTTTCATCAGATCTCGACGTTTGAAGATCACAGGAAGCTTCCCTGACTATTTATACGATGATGTCCGTACGTCTGTATGTATGTATGTATGTGTGTGTGTGTGTGTGTTTGTTTTTTTTTTTTTTTCCTTTAGGGGGGGGAATCCTTTTTACGGATTCTACGCATAGATGTTGGCCCGGATATGTGGCGACTCGACGCAGCGTCATACTAAAATTTGACGCTGACGCCCCTACCCACTAAACCCTAAACCCCTTTCTCTTCTATCCTCTGATCCCCCATGGTACCGCCGTAAGGCATTTCTTCGCGGGGGGAGGAATTAGCTGCCGCTCTTCCTTCTGGTGGCTAAGATGTTATCTTCCTTCTAGATTCTGTTTTTTGATCTTTTTCTCTCGATGGAACGCAGCTCTGTAAGCACTTCTGTGGCAAAAGTGTTCGTTGCATTCCAGGTAGCTTCTGAAGACAGCATTGCTTCTACGATTGACTCTGGTTGAATTGTCTTCTTCAGGATCTTCTCCAGCTCTTCACGTTGTTGATTGAAACGCGAGCACTCGAAAAAAACGTGCTCTGCATCTTCAGTGGCTTCAGGGCAGGACGGGCGCTCCGGAGAGTCGTCATGCCTAAAGCGGTGAAGATAAGCCCGAAAGCAGCCATGCCCTGACAACGTCTGTGTTAGGTAGTAGTTGACCTCACCGTGACTCCGGTTGAACCACTCATCAATTCGAGGTATGAGACGGTACGTCCACCGACCCTTATCTGAAGCGTTCCACTCTTGTTGCCATCTTGCGATGCTGTGTTGCCGTTCTTCGCTTCTAAGTTCTTCAGGGCTCAGTGTGGTTGACCTTTTTCGCTGATATAGGTTCCGTCTTTCCTCAGCTAGGACTCTGAGAGGCAAAGTACCGGAAATAACACACACTGCATCCTCTGATATTGTGCGAAAGGCGCTAGCTACTCGTAGGGCACTCAGTCGATATACTGGTCCAGCCTTTCTCCATAATTCTTGCGTCTTTAGTGCGTCGGCCCAGATAGATATTCCGTAAGTGAGCACTGATGTGATTACAGATGATAGTAGTAGTCTTCTGCTCTGCTTTGGGCCTCCGACGTTTGGCATCAGCCGTGCTAAGCTAGCTACCACTGCTGATGCTTTTGCACTCACGTGTTCGACTTGCTGCTTAAAGTTGAGTCGGGCATCAATCATCACTCCCAGATATCGGATATATGGTTGTGATGTGATTTCTTGTTCTCCGAGTTTCAGTTTTATGGTCTCTATCACTTTTCTGCTGGTAATAAGCACAGCCTCAGTCTTCTGTTTAGCCAGTTGTAGATTCATTGAATCCATCTACCGGTTAACTTTCTCAAATGTGATACTGAACATGTGGTTTATCTCATCTAGGTGTTTCGCAATGATTACGACAGCTACATCGTCTGCGTATGCAACAAGCTTGACACTTCTTGGTAGAGTCAGTCTCAGTAGACCATCATACATGACATTCCACAGAAGTGGACCCAGAACAGAACCCTGGGGTACGCCTCCGGTAATATCGTACTCTTTTGGACCATTCTTCGTGTCGTATCTCAGGATTCTGTCCGTAAAGTAGCTAGCCACTATCCTACGTAGGTATCCTAGTACGTTTTTCTCTTCCAGAGCTTGCATAATGCAGTCCCAGTTGGCGGAGTTGAAGGCATTTTTGATGTCCAGAGTGGCCACCAGGCAGTACTTCTTCGCTCCACCCTTCCATCTGATCCCTTCGATTGCCTCCTTGGCCGTTGCAACAACCAGGTTGATTGCGTCCAGGGTTGATCGTCCTTTCCGAAAACCATACTGGTTGTCTGCCAGGAGTGGATCGACAACTGCTTCTATTCTTTGGTGGATTATACGCTCAAAAGTATCTTACCTGCCGTGTCTAACATACAAAGTGGTCGATAAGATGACGGCTCTTCTGGTGGCTTTCTTCCTTTTGGAAGTAGTACTAGTCGTTGCTGCTTCCACTTCCGAGGGAAAATCCCTCCCTTGAGGCATGTGTCGTAGACGTCCAGGAACAATGATGGCACTGCTTTTATAGTTGTTTTTAAGTGCGTGTGTGTGTGTGTGTGTGTGTGTGTGTGTGTGTGTGTGTGTGTGTGTGTGTGTGTGTGTGTGTGTGTGTGTGTGTGTGTGTGTGTGTGTGCGTGCGTGCGTGCGCGCAGGTGCGCATGTGACCCTCTTATAACTTTTGAACGGCTTGACCGATTTTATCACAGTTGGCGCCAGTCGAAAGGGATTGTCCAAACTTAGATTTTGAATACAATTTGGAATAACTTTTAAACGGCTTTACCGATCGACTCCAAAACTATTCAGCTCTTGACATCAAGAAATCACGCCGATCGCTGTCAGTCTGAACAAAATCGGTTCATTCGTTCCTGAGTTATCATGAGTAAGGCCTCGTCACGTTGTCAAAACATTTGGCAACGCAGGTAGACTCAAAGATTACGGGGATCACAGAAGAGACAAGTAACAAACGAACGAGACAGATACAGGGATAACTAAATATTATAGCTCAACAGGCCTTACGGCTACACCTCCCCGCATGGGCCCCGCTGGGCAACTGGTCGGATTGTCATTATATTACCGGCCAGGCCAACGTAGTCGTTGAATGGAGTTGTATAGGGGAGGTTTGATACAGTGAACAATTACGAGGACAGATTGACATTAAATTAAATACAACTCCATTCACATTCTGTCCAGTGATAGCGTAAAAGCTGGAGGGCAGGGTTTTTCCTTGCCCGGCGAGTTGACAGTGCTTTTGTTTTGGTGAGATTTGGGTTTTATTTAAGTGCGTGTATAGCTTTTTTAAGCCCAGGAAACGGCCTGTTCGAAAGGAGGCTGACGAAAGTCTCACCAAATAACTCGTTCCTGAGTTATCGTTGTCGAAAAAAAAAATC